ATGTCAAGATCTTCATCTCAATGACATCTCTGTACATCGGCGCACTAGATGTCAGATACCGACCGTTAAATGCTAAATGCATATGATCCTGGATTATTATCTGAGCACAGGACGAAAGACATACGAAGGCAGTTTCAGCATAGGTAACACAGAGTTGCAGCCGTCATAATGTCAGTGCTAAAGCGCTAAGCGCTAAAGCTAAAGGCTGGAATTAGCCGAGCGCGCGCTGATCTTGCTCGATCGACGTCTGGTTAAAGAGCTTGGATGTGGCTGTGCACTTCATTAACTCTTTGACCTTTGACTACCACTTTCTTTTCCCCTTCAAATCGAAGCAAGAATGTGGAACAACCAATACAACAGTTATAACGATCCATCTCCTCCTCAGTGCGTTCATACATTTAGCTTTGTATCATGATCCTGATCTCAACATAGATTCCCGGGCGCACCTGGTTTCCCAACTCCGTACAGTGTCTTCATTTCCAACTGACAATACACTCTGACCGTCCGAAACAGAGAACCGACATCTCGTGGGTTCAATCCTGTATATGCACCATCTTATGGGCCTCCTTCGGGGTCGGTTGTTGCGATCATATCCTGAAGTCATATAACCGATATATTGCAGATACGGACCTCCTCCTGGACACCCTCCATCAGGGTAAATCTCGCATTTTTATCATTTATTGCAGTTCTTAAGCTGCATTTCTTAGCTACGGGCCTCCGTCGGAATCTCCTCGAGGGTGAGTGATCAAAGGAGGAGTATGATCACAACTTGATTTTTCATCTACAGGTTTCCGCAGGCAGGGTATGGATGTTTTGTTCATCAGCTCTCTGATTTCTGAATGAACTGCGGCTGCAGTGGATATGCTCCTCCTCCTGGACAGCCTCATCATGGACATTACGCGCCGCCCTCTGGGCCTCCTCCTGGACAGCCCTCTCACTACGCTCCGCCCTCTGGTCCGCCTCCCGGACAGAGAGCAGGCTACCCTGGTCAACAATACTATCAACAACATCAGCAAGGTGGTGGATATCCAGGAGCATACGGTGGAGCTCCCCAGCAGCAGTACGTGCATCTATTCTCTGCCTCCATGTGTCTAAAAATGGTCAATCCATCCCATTTCCAGATATCACTATGGCCCTCCAAGTATGTATCATGATAATGCTATTTCATCTCGTTCTTACCATGCCTTAGGTGGCCCGCCGCCGCCACCGCCTGTTCACCAGCAGAACTACGGACCTCAATTCCAGAATGCTAGTGGTCATACCGTTCAACCTTACTTCCAATACTCCCAGTGCACTGGAAAGAAGAAGGCGCTTTGCGTAGGAGCCCCTTTCCTCGGACCGTCTCTCCATCTTCTTATCAATGTTCCCTGACAGATTGGTATCAATTATTTCGGGCAAGACGCAGAACTGAAAGGGTGCATCAACGATGCGCACAATATGGTCAACTTTTTGACAAGTATGTCGTGTGACCTTTCGACTGTCAGTTATTTATAGGTTGACCTCTTATGTTCTCAGCCCATTATGGTTATAAGAAAGAGGATATTGTCATTCTTACCGACGATCAAAGGAATCCTCAAGCAAGACCTACGCATGATAACATGGTGAGCTTTTCACCGGCGTTGTCTTATCTGATTTTTTGACCCGCGCTCTCTCTAGATCCGGGGAATGCAATGGCTAGTTCAGGGTGCTTCTCCCAATGATTCTTTATTCTTCCACTGTGAGTGCCATGCTCCCAGCTGTCGTCTGTTATTAATTTTATGCTCGATTTAAAGATTCTGGACATGGTGGTCAAACTAAAGATCTGGATGGAGATGAGGATGACGGGTACGACGAAGGTGCGTATTAGTCCTTCCCGCTCACTATCCTTGTCTCTGACGTGAACCTTTTTCTTTCCAGTTATTTACCCTGTGCGTCTGGTAGACATATCACGGAAGGGTTCTGCTAATACTGTATATCACAGGAGGATTTTAAACAGAAGGGACACATTGTCGATGATGTGAGTGGTTACAATGCACCATAACAGCCGAACTTTATCTAACAGTGTTCTCTAGCTCATACATGACACTCTGGTTAAGCCCCTTCCTGCCGGCTGTCGTCTTACAGCAATCTTCGACGTGAGTTCGTGACCCTAAGAACACTTTCATCATTCTAACTGTTATACCCAGTCCTGCCACTCAGGCTCCGCGCTTGGTACGTCAAACTTTAAACACTGACTGACCGCTACTAACCCCGCATCTACCGTCAAGATCTTCCCTACATAGTGTGTTCCTCTCTTCTCAACCGCCGAAAAATCCTCATATTTCTTCGTTCAGTACTCGACAGAAGGTAAAATCAAGGAACCGAATCTTGCCGCAGAAGCTGGACAGGGCCTACTCTCCGCCGTGACGTCTTATGCGCGCGGGGACATGAGTGGTGTCTTACAGTCTGCAATGGGCCTCGTTAAGACAGTGACAGGGGGTGCACAAAAGGCAGAAAGAATCGCAAGGGCAACAAAGACGAGTCCCGCAGACTGTGTACGTTTTAAAGAGGTTCATTCCATGCGATTTGGTCTAACGCATGCATGGTACTTGAACAGATCTCTTGGAGTGGATGTAAGGATTCACAGACGAGTGCTGATACCCAGGAGGCGGGCCGTGCGACCGGTGCCATGAGCTATGCTTTCATCACCGCTCTGAGTAAGTCTTCTTCAATGTTAATTTTCTTGTTACTTAACTAGTCTTGGTCCACAGGCCAGAACAAGCAGCAGAGTTACCAGTCACTTCTCGTTAACATTCGTAATATCCTCCAGGGTAAATATTCGCAGAAGCCCCAGTTATCGAGCTCTCATCCAATGGTTTGTTTCTTCATCTTTGTTTACATTGTTGTAATACATCTCGCTGACTTGCCACTTGCAGGACACCAACCTTCTTTTCATCTGTTAAGCATAAGATAGGCATGCATGTATATCCCTACGTAGTTATTGCTATGTGAGCTGTATTTTATATCCTTCTTTGCACCGTTGAACCTGTTCCCTGGAATACATGTTTGAGTACCCGCTGGCACAAGCATGGCCTGTTAATGTTAGTAGACAACGATGATCGCAAACTTTCAGGCTAGAGAAGCCAATGCATCCCGTTTTCTATTGAGAGTGACGACGTATCTGCACCGGCTGGCACGCATATTATACAGTTTTATGATAATGATACAACTACAAGACATGAAGATGTGCTACTATATAATGCGTATATTACCTTTCTATCGATTGTGTCCGAGTTGAACGCGTTTTGAACAAATGCCGGGGTGGAATTAGGTTGAGCTTTCCTGCTCTTGGGAGGCTCTGGATTCTGCATATCATGGGCACCTAACACTGACAGTCTTCCCATGGTGGGAATCACCAAACTCGACCACATCCGAGTCTAGATTATTGTCATCATCTCCATCACGGTCTAGTACGTGCGCTCTTTTATGGCCTTGCTTGCCGCCTAGGACAAGCGCAGTCAGATGCCGTTCGTAAACGCATCCGGTATCGAGGCCAATAGACCAGCGCTTCACATCGAGCCCCCGGCTCGCAGCGTGGCCGTAAAGGACAGTGGAGGGGTAGCAAGGTAGAAGTTCTGCCGCATTCTTCTTCGACTTGCCGTCAGCGAGTTCCAGGTTGAACCCGGCACAGCGCTCCATATCCTGGCGCCAGATCTTAGACCAGGCCCTCCCATCAGTGTTCCTGCATCGCGTCGAAAATTTCGCTGTCAGTGTCAAAATTTGGACTCGGAAGGAAAAAATGTTCAGCACTGACTTGGTGACTTTACCAGTGGCGAGGACACTGCGGATATTGAGTAAGTTCCATGGTTTCATATTTTGAGGAATCTTGGTCAAGATTGCGCCTTCCTGTAGGGTGCGGAGTGCGAGCGTATCGTTGGATTTATTCTTGTTCTTGTTACTCCCCTTTGGTAGACGCGGCACGCGTGCTAACGGTTGGCTAGAGTGATCGTGTTGGAGCTTGGGGTTCGAAGGAAGCATGCCCCCATGCACGATAAATGCATGAGCACTCGGAATGTGGATGGCGTATGGTAAGTTGACGAGATACGCGTATTGCTCATCAGACGTTTCGTGTGCGATGGCAAAGTGGGTATCGAAGAGCGTCCATCCTTTCGGGATCTTCTTCCACCACTTGTTCTCCTTATCTTTACGTTTCTGGTCTTCTAACCATTGTTCGGGGTCAGATTTCCCACCAGCCTCGGCTGCCCATCTCGCGTGAATTTGGTTGAGCCAGCGGGGCCCTCCGGGTTGAGTGCGAATCCAGCGGATCCAAGAGCGCCACTGGATGACTTGTTGGTCGTGGTTGCCGCGGACGCCTGTAATATTGTGGGAGGTCATGAATGCTAAGGTTTCCATGGACTCGACATGTGGGCCCTTGGTGAGGAAGTCGCCGACATGAATGAGGACGTCGGAGGACGGTTTATATGAAATGTGGTCTAAAAGTTTTCTGGAAAGACGTAAGAAATTAAGGAGACGACTTGCAAAAATTTCTTTCTCCCACTTTAAAGACCCGTACATGCCATGGATATCTCCAACAATCACAACACGCCTAGTAGGGTCATCTTGGAACGTCACGTTAGACAAATATCAAAACAGTGTCAGAGAGCAAGCACCTAAGGGAAATTCGTGCGCAGAGAGAATGCGATATTCTTGGTCATGGTCAAAGTCAGGAAATGCTTTTTGTTTTCAAGTCAGTGGCAGTGAATGGTGATGCTGAGAGGACTGACTAGTTTTGAGGTCGCCGATGAATGGGAAGCCAAAGTGATAAGAAAGGCCGCCAGAGAGAAAGAAAAGAACGAAAAGAGTGAGAACGATGTATGCAAAGAGCTGGCGGAGTGGAGGGTCGAGGCCAACGAGATGCTTCTGCGGACGGCCAACCATCGTGGTTGCTGTCTAACATTCAAATTGCGTCATAATCAAGTGGCGTCTATACCCTACAAGGCCAGAGCGTATTATATGTGGTTATTTGTGCGACAAGTACAAGGTCTTTGCTAGTATATCGGTTAGTACACGCGCCTGTCATGTGACTTTCCGCGCGAAAGCTGGGTTCGACTCCCAGGCAAAGAGCTCATCTTTTAGTTCCTGTCTTTTTGGCGCCGGGCTTCTTTCAAGCCTCTAGAAATGTGTTCCATGTGCATATCCACCCTTTTGAATTAGAGAGGGAACTGAGGCCACCAATTAACAACACAGGTTGCAAACTGCGTCCGATTGGAAGATGAAAAAATAGCACAGCCACCATTGTCATGTTCTGTCGAAGACGCATTGCTCAGGCGTTCTCTCGACGACCCTCTTTAGTCTTCACTAGCACTAGCTTCACACCTCGCACATTTCCCTGCACGAAATTTCGCCCATTATGTATCGCAAGCCCTCGGCTTCGTCTTTCTCAAACCAGCTCCGCAATACGCTGGTATTCCACCGAATCCACTGGTAGCACCCCAACGGCTTCCAGTAGTTCCCTTACCAATATTGTATGCTCTTCCGCAATTTGAATGTGTTCCACAGTCCTGAAACGTTATTTAGACCGATGAAGAACTTGGAGGTCTTCTTGACCAAGCAGAAGTGTCATGGCCCCCGCCGCCAACCATTCCTCCAACGTGGAGCTGCACCTGGTCTGAATGGGAGCACCTTCTCACCTACTACTGGTTCTCGCCCCTATATCTTATGCTTCCCAGAATTGAATTGCTCGTCAATATCGAATATGGCATTCGTGGAGAGACGCGACCAGTGCTTTTCTCGAACGAGCGCAAATCTTTCGTGTTTGCAATTGGGAGCAAGTATTTCCTACTTGACGGGCCTGCTAAGGCTCTATACAGGGTGAAGAACGTGCGCAACGACCAAGAGCTCGTAGACCTGTTGATGCAAGGCGACGACGAGCTTACCTTGAAGCTCACGGCTGTCGAAAGGACCGACGAGGGCAAGGCGGTTATGCTACGAATCCTAAAACGAGACGAAACTGTAATACCGCTTCTTGCGGAACAGTTCTTAACTTATACACCAACGCCTACTACTCCCAATATGGAGACAAATGGTGCGCCAGAATCGGTCGAGCAGGCGGCAGAATTCCTGGAAGATTTACGTCGAAACCAGAGTACCACAAGAAACGCTGTTTCCGAACGCATCCAAAGTGCAGTAGATGCAGAAGAAAAAGAGTTACGCCAACTAGAGGAAGAATTTTCACGTTTGCTGCCGGAGACTAGCGGGGAACATTCGGAAGAGGAAAATTTGAAGGAGAAATATGAAGCGTTGCTGGAGCGCGTCGATGGAACTATCAAGGAGATGGAGGCATTTGGACCCTCTGCACCCAATCAACCTGTATATGTTGACTTACTATCGACGACGAAGGAAATCCGACAAGCTCTTAATCTCGATCTCAATCAACTGCCCTCCGAAATGTCCCCAGAGGTTGCCTACTCATTGGCAATGGAGTTCGCAGTCAACGTGGAAAACAATTTTAAGCAAATACAAAACAACCCAGACGTTTTGAATAATATACAAAGTAAGCTCTCTGTTTTTTTGTTCTATCCAGGATGCTGAATTCCCAATAGTACCAAAAGCATAATTCTACTACCACCTTTAATCCTAAAGGGTACTATTAATCACTATTAATCCTGCTTTATGGCATCTCTTCCTCAGGCTCAGCCCACCGAACATCATCTTCGGGAAGTTGCTCTTGGTACCACTTCCATGCGTTCTTCCTGGCGAACTCCTCAAATGACCAAGGCTCTGGCTCCAACCTGTCAAATAAAATATAGACATAGGTTTCCACTCTGATAGCGGTTGTCAATTCTGAAGCTGGAGGGAGGGCAGGTGGCTTCGACGGGATTAGAGCCCCGTTGTCTAGGGGGTATTCGGACAAGCTAACAAGAGCAGCTAAGGGATGAACGTCTACACCCTTGCGATCATAATCCTGCATAGACGGATGAATGTCAAAAGTTGCTTCAGATCCTGCGAAAGGCTTACCTCTCCCTCAAATTGGTCAAGAAGTAGAAGATCCTTTTCTGAAAGACCGGTGACGACAACTCCTCGGACAGATCTCTCTTCGTAGGCCAGTTCACGATGAACCAGTTGGCTGCTCTGTTCATAGGGTATTAGCCCTGGGTATTCCGCTTTCTACATCGATAGTCAGTTCTCGCTCGCCTATCGCCTAAATTTGAATGCGTGTGCCGTGTACCTTCACTTTATGACGAGTATAATCCTAATCTTGATGAGTATAGCGTGTAGGTCGTAATAAGTACTCAACCTACCAACAAAACGGCAGGGCAAATCTTCAAATCAGGACCTTGATGTTCTATGACACGCTGCAACACCTTCGGGTGCATCAAGGTGCCGTAGAAGAATGCACTAGCCATATGTACCACGTCAAAGAGCTGGGAGATAACGTCTTCGCGCCTTATCACTTCATCGTCAAGCGTCAGTTGTTCAGTAGCCTGTGTTGGTAACAGAAGTATTATTCATTCGTTCCCATATGAAGACAAGACGCGATTTTCATCCATATTTCTCGGCTATTTCTTTAAAACATTTAAATACTCTTCTCGTACGTGGATGAAGGCACGCTGAATGCATAGAGTTTGCATAGAACGATAGCTGAGCGCTGCCCCTGCATGACATACATAGTACGGTGAGAAGTCAAAGAACGATAACGTCATCCGGTAAACCTCCCGAAAACCATGTCAACAACATATCAAAAAAATGGCATTCAGTACATGCCTCTGCTGCGGTGGGGCACTGTGTTCTCCAAAAGCTGAAGACTGAACCTTCAATCCATCCATCAAATTACCATGGCAGTGGCTAGCCAGCTCTATTGGTCCTTGACTGGGACAGTGGCCGCATGGATCGTGTTCAAAGCGCTCAAGTTCGCATACCGACATGCTACATCTTCACTACGCAATCTTCCTGGCCCCAAAAACACTAGCTTGATCTATGGGAATATGAAGGAGATCTGGGCAGGGGTGCGCATCTCCAACATGGAAACTTGGCGCTCCGTTCGTTGACTTCAGCCCGTTCAGGAAAAAGCGCAAATTCACGAGAAATGGGTCGAAGAATATGGACCGACTATTCAATATAGCGGATTCTTTAGTGCAAGTCGAATCCTTGAATGACTCTAAAATTCAGCTGAGGTGGTTCTGCAGAGACGACGGCTTTACACTACCGATCTCAACGCCTTGAATCATATTCTGATGAATAACGAGATCTACGAGAAGCCAGAGACTGTTAGATATACCCTTACTCGTCTTCTTGGTGCTGCTGGTCTGTATTTCATCATTCCGAACCCTGGAAAGCCTCGTAATACCTCCCTAATAGGTCTACTGGTGGTCGAAGGAGATAAACATAAGCAACAGGTAATTCAAATAATCCCCTGCGTTTATGACATTATATTCATCTGTACTTGCAGCGCAAAGTTATGGTACGCGACTATGCCTGACGGTATTTGGAATGAGACAAACGAATGGTTACAGAATCCTGCCTTTGGACCTTCTCAAATACGAGAACTTACGGAGATTTTTGTTACTAAAGCGCTTGAGGTATGTTCTTGCTGTGCTTCTGTACGCAGTGAACACGAGCCTCATTAAGGTATATGTAGCTGCGACAAAGGTGGGCTTCTCAGATTGCCCGTGAGGATGGCCAGAGCCGCATCGATGTCTTGTCGTGGTTAACTCGAGCCACGCTTGACATCATTGGACTAGCAGGTTTGTATAACTTGTCGCTCGACATTGAACAAAACTAATGGAAGACAGGATTCAATTACAACATCGACGCTCTCGGTGAAGATGGCAAAGAAAACGAACTCAGCAGCGCATTTGCTGTTATGTTCAGGGCTAACGTGCGAATGTCTTTAATCCCTGTAATTAGGACATTTGTCCCTCTGCTTCGTTTCCTGGTATGTTGCTTTTTTGTTGATTGAGTTTGCTTTTTAACCCGACCCTCCACAGGAAACTGATCAAGACAAACGAGCTGCAAAGGCGAAAAGCACAATGGCTCGTATCGGAAACGAACTCCTGCGTGAAAGCAAGACCATGATCCACGATAAGAATACAGCTAGAGACCTGCTCAGCCTCCTGGTGAAATCAAATATGAGGACAGATACTCAAGAGCATCAACGTATGACTGATGAGGATGTCCTTGCCCGTAAGCATCCTCAATTCCTGAGGCGACAATTTCCACTGATGACTGTTTAGAGATCCCGACATTCCTTGTTGCAGGCCACGAAACCACTAGGTGCGTCATTGCCAAGATCTTCTCTATGTCCTTTGTGTTACTAAAACCCGGTTTTAGTACTAGCACAACGTGGGCCTTGTTTGCGCTGGCGCAGAATCAGGCTATACAAGCCAAACTCCGGCAAGAGCTCAATACAATTGATACGGATAATCCAACAATGGACCAGCTCAATTCCCTGCCTTACCTGGACATGGTTATTCGTGAAACCCTGCGTATTCATTCCCCGACGGCGTCTACTATGCGTATTGCTGTTAAGGATGATATTCTACCTCTTGGCCGTCCTGTTGTAGACAAGAAAGGTGTTAAGCACGATACGATCAAGTATTTCTCCCCCCTTTGACTTCTCTCCGCCCTGCTTATTGATCCACTTTTACGATAGGGTTCGCAAAGGTGAAACCTTCCTTGTGCCTATCCTTGCCATCAATCGTTCCAAGGACATCTGGGGTGAGGATGCCAGAGAATACAGGTATATTTATGGTCGCTCTCAAACTGTAGGACAGACGAAAATTAACCTGTGAGCACTTCTCAGACCTGAACGATGGGAGAATGTCCCCGAGGCCGCGACACACATTCCTGGAGCGTGGAGCAACATACTCACTTTCCTCGGCGGCCCGCGTGCATGCATCGGCTGGCGTTTTTCTGTTGTCGAGTAAGCATTGGTTCTCTTTCTCACCTCGACCCCAATGTTGACACCTTTTTACAGAACAAAAGCGTTATTGTTTACTCTAGTTCGTGCATTCGAATTTGAGCTGGCGGTCCCTGCGTCAGATATTGAGAAGAAGGGAAATATCGTGCTGAGACCTGTTCTGGTCACCGACGGAAGTAACCAGATGCCACTTTTCGTTCGACCT